CAAACTAAGCACTTGGTTAGCATCAAGGGGTATCTCTTGCACTTGGAAATACAAGTGTGAAAGCACCTTAGACTCTTCATCCAATGATCAGATTTAATTGATTCTTCAGGTTTGAACAGCAATGACTGAAACATTAAAGAACAGGGTGAATTGACAACTTGTTGGGCTTGAACTCATGATGTATAGACAAAGAGTATAGACTCTTCAACCAATGATTGGATCTCATTGATTTCACTTCTTGGCTTTTTCTAAGGATTTAGCAATGGACATAGAGCAGCTTTTGTGCTTTCACAGTCAATGATATGATGTCACTGTTATTATCTCATAGCACATAATTTCATTATGTCATAGCACATTAACAGCACATTAACATAACATTAACATAACATTAGCAACAGGTAGTCCTACATAGCACAATGTAAGTGTGCCGACAGGTAATCGTGGCCTGCCGACTACGTGCTTATTACTCATGATTTATAGACAAAGAGTTTAGACTCTTCAACCAATGATTGGATTTTCTAAGGATTTAGCATTGAACATAGAGCGGCATTTGTGCTTTCACAGTCAATTATATGATGTCACTGTTATTATCTCATAGCACATAATTTCATTATGTCATAGCACATTAAGAGCATGCCAAAAGGTTGTTGTGGCCGAATGGTTAAGGCGAAGGACTCGAAATCCATTGTGGTCTCCCTGCGCAGGTTTGATTCCTGCTGACTACGTACTTGTTAGGGATAAGCACAGCATGCAGTTTCCAAACTGAGAGTCAAGGGGTACCTCTTGCAACTGGAAATACAAGTGTGAAAGCACCTTAGATTATGCATCCAATGATGAATTAAATGATCAGATTTAATTGATTCTCCCTAGCTTTGAAGGGCAACAATTGCAACAGGAAAGAACAGGGTGAATTGACAGCTTTGTTGGATTTGAACCCATGATTCATAGACAGAGTTTCGACTCTTCAATCAATTATCCAATCTCGTTGATTCTGCTTCTTGGAATTTTCTAAGGATTTAGCAATTAACATAACATTAACACAATTAACATGTGGTTGCGCCATCTTGGTGGCAAAGCGTATGATGTCACAATATGGTGAAATCATACGCTGAACGAGCAGCGGCCACATTATCTATGAGGAAGCTCATAATTGGCATTGTAGCAGATATTTTGAGGTTTTTGAAGTTGATTTTATAGTCAAAAATCATCATGTCATTGAAGGTATTGTGATGTCTTAAAGCCATGAGGTATTACTACATAATACCCGTCAAACGGCTCCAAGTCCTATTTTTGATGGCATCTATGAGGAAGCTCATGATTGGCATTGTGGCAGTTATGTTGATGCTGCAAGTTGTAGTTTAGTGATTATCTATAGGAAAGGTTTTCTTTGTCATAACTACTTTTGTGATCTCATAGCACATTAAATGGCCCTCAACAGGTAGTCGTGGCCGAGTGGTTAAGGCGATGGACTCAAAATCCATTGGGGTCTCCCTGCGCAGTTTCGAATCCAGCCTACTATGTACTTATTACAAAAAAGCACAGCATGCAGCTCTTGCAACTGGAAATACAAGTGTGAAAGCACCTTAGACTCTTCATCCAATGATCAGATTTAATTGATTCTTACTAGGTTTGAACAGCAACAACTCAAACAGGTAAGAACAGGGTGAATTGACAACTTGTTGGGCTTAAACCCATGATTCATAGAAAGAGTTTGGACTCTTCAAACAATGATCAGATCTCATTGATTCTGCTTCTTGGAATTTTCTAAGGATTTAGCAATGAAGATTACAGAAAATTGTTATCCTACTTACCGTAATTTTATTTTCCTGGCTCATCCTCATGTCAGCATACTGATGGGTGGGGGGTGGGCTCCACCCCTCTGACCCCACAGGACCACCTTCCAAAAGTGAATAAAGGGCCGACCCCCCTTAGATACCTTTTCCCTGACAAGACAAGCGACAGGCCCGCAACTGAGGGTGGGTATGTATGCTCACATGAGGATGAGCCAGGAAAAGAAAATTACTGTAAGTAGGATAACAATTTTCTGTATTCCTGGCTCACCTCATGTCAGCATACTGATGGGACATAGCAAGCAACCCCATGAGGGAGTGAAGAAAAAGAAAACACAACCAATGCCATTTGTTGCAAAAACATAAGACACCACATTTATTAGGAAATTGCTGAAAACATAACCTCAAACCCAAAGCGAGCCAATCTAGCCGCTGCGATATCCATGTGATAGTGACGGACAAACGTGTTCCGTGAAGTCCACCTCACCGTTTTACATATATCCTCAATCGACACTTTGGCGTAAGCGGCCCAAGAAGTGGCCATCCTCCTTGTCGAGTGTGCCCGCACTTCCACAGGAGGAGCAAGACCCTGTTTTAAGTAGGCTGCTTTAATTGCTGCTTGGATTCAGGTTGCCAAAATCCGAGGCGTAGCCGCCATTCCTTTTCTCGGCCCTTTGGGAAGAACTAACAACCGATCTGTTCGCCTAAAAGGCAGCATCCTCCTTAGTGCTGCTAACTCTGAAACTCTCTTTGCTGAAGTGATAGCCGTCAGAAATACCAGCTTCAGTCAGGGACCATAGTGTGCACTGGTCCAAAGGATGGTACGGAGGGCGTGACAGGACCTAAAGGACTAGATCCAGGTCCCATGATGGATATAAGGCTTTCCTTGGAGGCCACATTCTGAGTGCTGCTCTCATGAATGTCCTGAGCAAGGCGTTGTCCGCCCATTTAACTCCTGTAAAGGCCGATAAGGCCGAAATTTGAACCAGCAGAGAGTTGTATGCCAAACCGGCATCTAAGGCTGATTGTAGAAAGTCCAGAATCCCCGGAATACCCGCTGTCATTGGAGCGAAGCCTTTTGCACTTGCGAACATTAGAAACTTGTTCCATATTCTTGAATAAGTAGCGTGTGTCGCAGGTCCCCTACAACGAAGCATGGTATCAATAACTTTCAATGATAGGCCCTGGTTCTTCCAACCCGCGCCTTCAGGAACCAGGCTGCCAAGTGCAAGCGTCCGGGATTCGGGTGCTGACACTGTCCCTGGAGAAGAAGATCCCTCCTGACTGGGAGGAACAATGGAGGGAAAGATGCCATTTGTTGCAGTAGCGGAAACCATGGCCTCCTCGGCCAGAATGGAAGGACTGCAAACACTTCTCTAACTGGATCTTCCGCAGAACCCTGAGGGCTAAGGGCCAAGGGGGAACACGTATGCCAGCGGGAAGTCCCATGTTACCGAGAATGCATCCTGGCGTAGCGCCCTGTGACATCCGGGAGGTAGGCTGCCGTAAGGGCAAGTAAGTGCCTCTCTGCCCAAAGAAAGATCTCCTGAGATAGAGCCAACAGGGAAAGACTCCTGGTCCCTCCCTGTCTGCGAACATAGGACACCGCCGTCTTGTTGTCCATAAGGAGCCTGACCTGTCTGCCCTCGATCAATTCGCGAAAGGCCTGCAAGGCCAGGGATGCCGCCTTTAATTTCAACCAATTGGAATGCTGTATCACCGAGCCCTTCCAGCGTGCTTGAACCCGTTGCCCTAGGCCAGTGGTGGCGAACCTTGGCACTCCAGCTGTGCCAAAACTACAAATCCCAAGATGCATCTGCCTCTGGGAGTTATGTCTGTGGCTGTCAGAGCCTTGCAATGCCTCATGGGACTTGTAGTTCCAAAACAGCTGGAGTGCCAAGGTTCACCATCACTGCCCTAGGCAGTGGGCTCCCCATCCTTGGAGGCTGGCATCGGTAGTAAGCATGATCCAACTCTGTGGATCCAGAGACACACCCCCCGAAAGGGATTGAGACCTCGTCCACCACAAAAAGTCCCTCCGCACAGTCTGAGGGAGGACAATCCGCTGGCTCAATGCCGTATGATTCCATTGATGAAGGAAACAGATTTGAAGGCTGCGCATGTGCCAGCGTGCCCAAGGGACCGTTGGGATGCATGATGTCAACATTCCCAAAAGCATCATGCAGTCCCTTGGAGACAGAGATGGAACCGTGATGGCTTTCCGAGCACAGGAAACTATTTCGCATCTGCGTCAGACTGGAAGGAATACCCTGGCCAGGGATGAGTCCAGGAGTACCCCCAAGTATTCCATCCTCTGCGTGGGAACCAGTTGACTCTTCTCGTGGTTCACCAACCACCCGAAACAGAACAATGTTTTCAACACATGATCCTGACGGATGCCCAGGGAGCGGCTGCTGCTGTCCAGGATCAAAATATCGTCCAAGTAGTGGAATATCTTTATTCCCTGTGTGCGAAGTAGGGCGATCACTGATAACAACAGTTTTGAGAAAGTCCTCGGTGCCGAAGAGAGGCCGAACGGCAATGCTCTGAATTGGAAATGCAAACCCGCTACGGAAAACCGAAGGAACTTCTGATGGCAGAGAGCTACTGGCACATGTAGGTATGCATCCTCCAGGTCTACGGACACCATTCTCCCCTTTCGACAATGGCAATAATTGTCTGGACTGACTCCATCCTGAATGATTCGGCTTTGACATAGACATTCAATTTCTTCAGGTCTAACACTTGGTCACCAGAAAAAGTGTTGAGTAGAATTCTTGACCTAACTCCTCCGTTTGGGACCAGCACAATGGCCCCTTTCTGCAGTAATTCTCTGACGTATCCGAGCAGACAATCTCTTCGGAAAGGAACTCGAGGCACCGGCGTTTGAATGAATCGTGGGGATGGTGTACTCTGGAACTCCACCCGATATCCAGTAGTGACGATTCTCTTGGCCCATGAATCATCGAGCTCTGCCACCCAAGTATCCCAGAACAGGAGCAGTCTTGCCCCCACCCGAGGGACTTGGGTGGGCGCACCTTCAAAATTGTTTAGGTGGGGCCTTACTCGATTGGCCCGCTTTAGACTTCACATCACGAAGCAGGGAACTTTGTGTCCCTTTCCACTGGGGCCTAGAAAATTGCTTGCCCGGCCTATATGACCTAGCATCCCGGAACGGTTGACTGGGGCGGAAGGAAACTGTCTTTCCGATTGGCTTGTGGTAGAAGCCCCGACTTGCCCCCGGTGACTCCCTTGATAGCTTCCTCAAGCGTCTTACCAAATAGCGTCTTGGCATTGTATGGAATTGAACACAGTGCTTGCTTGGAGGCTGCATCTGCAGTCCAGTGGCACAGCCACAACGCTCTTTTAGCTGTAATGGACTGAACCATCAATTTTGAAGAAAGTCGCACCAAGTGCACCGAAGATTCTGCCAGAAAGTCTGCTGACAGTAACAGCTCCTACAGTGCTTCCAAGATGCGAGCACTATCTAGACCTGACTTCAGGGCCGCTTCCACGTTCGTGATCCATACTTTTACAGCCCTGGAGAGCGAGGTCAAGGCCAAGGCTGGCCGAAGGGCCCAGCCTGCGGTAGTGTGAATCCTTTTCAAGTCCGCATCGATTCTGCGATCCATTGCGTCTTTAAACAATACAGAATTATCCGGAGGAAGAGATATGTGACGTGCCAATCTTTGCAGCGATGTATCCACTGCTGGGGGGATTCCCAAAGAGCCGCATCGGCTGCAGTCATACGGTATAGTTTTTACTGCCGAATAGCGTCCCGCCGCTGTCATGGAGACCATGACGCTGCAGACGCCACTCCCCCCCCCGCACTGCGTTCCGACGCGGCCATGACAACCATGACACGCGGACGTCGGCGCATGCGCAGAAGCAGCAGGGGAGAACACGCCGGAACGAAGCTCTGTACTCACTCAGAC